AACAATATTATGGGAGAAAAGAGGTGAAACATTCATGGTTGTGCCAGTGACTCCGCAAATAAATCACTGCTTTGACTCAAATGATTTTATCCAACTTTAAAAAGCAAAGAACAGAAACAATTGACATAAGAAGTGAAGTCCAATGTACAGGCATTTCAGACTCACTCTTTAGCTGCTTTCAGACATGTAACATGGAACATTGTTGAGTTATTCAATCTGTTAAAGTGGCGGGATTCTGTCATTCAGACCCTTTCACACATAAGTCATTTATCTGTTAATGTTCCTCAAGGCTGCATTCACATATACCACCCACGTTGTCGGAGAGCAGCAAGCACGCAAGATTTGTCATTCACTTGAGGCTAGTCAATACACCAAGCGATGCATCAACATAATATTGCAATAATAGGCTAATACGAAACTAATAGCAGCTGAACAAAGTGTCCAAACAACTAACTGCTCAGTTTACTTCTGATTTCTTAAACAGTGAAACTAAACGTGTAAGACTCAGCCTAAGGACTGCTGCTGATAAACTGTGACTCTGTGACAGCTCACCTGTCTGAGGTGAAGAAAAGTTCACAGCTGCTGTTCGATTCTGATCGACTTTCTCCACATCATCATAGTAAAATTACCTAATTAATGAAGTCATTACTGTTGTCCCATGCATAAATGTGCCCTGCGCTCCCTCTTTCTTTGAGAGATCATTTTCTGATGCTGTCGGTGTGTAATAAACTACAAAGAAATAGTCCTAAACAGCTGGAAACTAATCTACTATTCTGCGTGTGTGACAGCTCACCAGTCTGAAGTGAAGACATGCATGCAAACACAGTTTGACTTGCCATCGGATCCATTTCCGGACTGATCTGCCCTCTTGGCGATATTCATAATCATAAGAATTGAACTAGTTAGTGGCGCTGTTGTTTAGCGGTGTGCGAATGTGCACAAATGTACGCTTTTTGGAGATCCACATATGGATCCTGTTGCTGTCTGATGATGCAGATATTAAACAAACTCAGAGCCAATAGTTCCAAACAGCTGGAAGAAACACATATCAGGTCCTCCCAACATCTTGTGGGGATAAATACTCAGATTACATTCAGTATTGGTGTGTGTCATTCATCTTTAAGCGGTTAGTGTCTGTTTTCAGTGCAGTAAAGTTTCATTATTATGGACATTTCATTTTGTTGCCTAATAGATTTGAAATTGTAGAGAAAAGTGCTTGAAAAAGGTGTGTTATGATTTTGGTACACAAACTGTGTATTAAGCAATTCTGGAATGTTTTCAGACAGACATTGGGGCTAAAACGTGAAAAAAAATTCTTCCTTAAATCATTTCATACATTCTAAAGTAGCTGCTTGTGCGCATCTATCCATCAGTGTGAAGGCTCAGTTCACACCTGTGCCATGTTACAGAAATGTTACTAGGTCCAACCTAGCAAAATTGGTGGTGAGAGTTTTATAGATAGGCAACCAG